TTTTTTCCACGGTTTTAACAAATCGAGTACTCCATACATTAACGGTGTACTACAATGCTAGCAGTCCAAATTCAAGTATGTAAATCAGTCTACCGGTACAGTGCTCTATCGATATTGTTCTGAATGTTTCATAACAGTGAATTCTGAAACATAGCGGGTAAAGTCACGTGGTTTAATGAGAATTTTGTACATATTCATTTTTTTCCTCCCTGGAACATTGAAGTTAAGAAGCTGAACCTTGATTGCGGTTGTGGAGATTGAAAACTGTACATCTCACCACAGGCAATGGGGAAACTTGGCATCGTTTGGATTCTTATCTAGGATTAATTTAATGTAGCTGCATAATGATGACATTTAACTCATCTATTGTTGTTTTGTGTTTTATGTTTATCTTAAAGCATGCTTAAAATGTACCTACTAAAGTTTATGCGCTAAATTAGGTTTTTTGAGATATTGGGCCTTTTAAGAATTTAAAAAGTGAAAAATGGCACTTAATAAAATCATTTATTTATATTCAATTAAATATATGAAATGTAAAAAATCTTTCTAAAATGCTTCATCTATTAACAAATATGAAAATTACATGAACCATACTCATTGTAACCTCTGAGAACATTTTTCGCTGCTTGTACGTATACGTAGGCTTATACACTGTATAAGCTGTGTAATTTGTAGTGCTGTTGGTCACCAAGGCATTACATAAGGTGATACTTATTCATATCAATACACAAATGACTACTTATATACAGGCAGATAAGATATATGCACACTTAGAGCTAGTAGGCAGGGCAGTTCCTTTGATTTGTGTCTTTATAATTTGCTGGGTTGGCTCCATTGTCCTTTAAAATTCCACGAAGCTTATCTAGAGTTGCTGGATCTAAGGAACGTTTTCTTGCCAGTATCCAAGAGAATTCAATGTGCCCGATCCCCAAAACCTCTTCACAAGAAAATACCAAAGAATATGTATTGTAGTCAGTGGCCAAAACCCAGTACGGTGCGTACGGTGTCCCTGAAATTGTTAAAAAGTTTTATGCCAATGGTCAACTTACGGATCTATAAATGCAATATTATCCCAGACAGAAGAAAAACATTGACAAAGTTTGACCGATGGTATTAATTTGGAAGCTCTCTTTCATGTTTAATAATCGACAATGAATCGTGCCTTTGCACACTAAAATCGGGACACTAGTTAACTCAGTACCTCTGCTATGTTTGATTGGGAGGAAGTAAGCCAAGATATGCAGTTACTCTGTTCACATATCACATATAGTATGCTGTGTTTAATACAGACAAAATACCAGAATTATAAATCTACTCAACGTGCTTTCGGCTTGGGAGTTCAACCCCCTTGGAAATGGGAGTGGTTATAGTCACTTAAAACGCTCACCTGCAGCAAACCGGACAGCTAATTTTGCCGGAGAACCAGCATCCGGAGCATAACCGTCTCCCTCAAGGGCGTTCTCCTTTCCAGATCTACAAAGCACAGAATAGCGAGACTTAAAACCATGCAAGCATGAATGTATGAGGTTAGTTTCATTTTGCAAGACCTTTTCACGTTTTTTACAGATAGTTTATAAAAAAAATTCCGTTTACAGCTTTACAGCTTCGCTTGAATTCAATAATTTACGAAGAAATAGCGGTAACTGCGTTGACTGATATATGTATAACAAATATAACGTTTTGATCATCAATAATTATTTACATGCGCATAATTAAAACTACTTACTTGTACCCGACGTTGTAAACCTTAATGTGTCCATCTGGTTTGGAGGAATAGTTCGCACTGACACAGTCCATTCCGGCTTGAAAAGCCGCGAAAAATCGCTGAATTTCGTACCATTTGCCAAGATACTAAGAAAATAAGCAGTTTTTAAGTGATGATGACTGCATTTTAGAAAAAACAGACATGCTTTATTTAATATGATATCAACGCTGAAGGATATCGTTGCCAATATCCTGATGTGTCTAATGATTATGTGTATTATGTGTATAATGATTATCAGTTTAATTAAAATTTATGGTAAAAAATTGTGAAACAAATGTATCAAATATTAACGACTCACTGCATTAATTAACTATTATATGAGTAATATAATTTCAAAGTAATATAAAAACTCTTATAACCCATAAAACCCTAGCCTTACCTTTTCAAGGTCAAAACTGGTCATGGGTTTGGCTGGCGGACACTTGCCAATACCTGGCACCTGAGCCGCTACCAGCGAGACAAAAAGTAGTGATAAAACTGCTCTTAACATTGTGCAGGTGTCTTGGTGTTGTGACAGATTGACGCTACTCCGTGGATTTAAATACCAAATTCTTATCATCTATGTGGTCACTGAAACGCTGGCCTGCATGTTATCGTCGAGTTTGTGGGGACCTGTTATCACATAGTTACGAAACGTTAGTGTCCTGACTAACAGTTCGCACGTGTTTTGGCACACTGTTATAAAACAAAATGTTCTCAAATACATGTACGCACGTCCCTCCACCCAGTTTTTCTCCTTCAGAAAAGGTGCAGTTTGTGAGAACAATACCTCCATTGCTCTCACATGAAGTTCGTGCAATTTAATAATTAAGAATATCTTTGTTGATGAACAAGTTCGTCAGGTTTTGCCCAATGACTGAGTGAGAGTACGCAGTGGGTCAAGCCACGTGTCACCCCTCACCTCAGCTTCGGAGGTACATGTACCCCTACTTCCCTAACCCCCTCCCCCCCCCCCCGACCCACCCACACATACCCGGTGCACACACAAAACAACTAGTAATTTTCAATCAGTGAGCCCACTTATCACAGTTTATCTCGTCTACTATATTTTTTCCCTTTGTTTCACCTGGCCTCACCACTGGGTTTTGCATCCTGTGACTCGTGAATGCGGCTGTTTATTCCTCGTCCTTCGTGAAACGAATATATAATTATGCTCGGTGATTCGTGTTTATCTTCAATGAGATATTAAAATAAAGTTTTATTTACTGTGCTTTGTGATTTGGTGATTTTAAACTGTGATCCCTGTGATCCCTCAATGAGATCCTCAGCAAAATCCAGCATCCGGTAGTGTTGACGTATGAATTGAGAGTCACGAGCAACAGAATTTTACGGAAACAAAAACCGTGATAACTCCACATAATGATAAGCCAAGCTACTGCGTTGCACCCTGAGCTTCAGAGCTAACTTGACATGGAGATAGGCTACAGTGAAAAGGTTAGTGTCAAGTTAGCTCTGAAGCTCAGGGTGCTGCGTTGTAATTGAACTGCAAAATGCGAGGCCCATTATCTTACCCCTCCCCAATTAGCAGAATATTGCATTGTCACGTTTTTTCTTTTTCTTTTTTTTCACGGTGGAATACAGGGCCTGAACACAACTGCAAAACTACGAAATTTAAATTTCTGCAATCTATAATGTGACTACCAGTCATTATGTCCCTTGTATTTCTTTAATCGCGTTTTTCTTTGCTAAAACTCAAGTGGGTTGATAGCAGTGTATTTCAAAGTATTGGTTCAGAGAGGTCGTCCTGAAATGTTCGATAAAGATAAGACCCCAACAAAAGCTGCAGTTTAGGGTATGGTTTCAGAAAAAGTGGGTGGAAAAGTGAGAACCGTTCGCGCCATGATCTTATTATTTGTCCCAGAGAACTTCCCAACGGCGCTGGCTTCCCCTTCTCCCCAGGTCTTCTCTCTTACCAGGAAGTCGATAACAGTAGGATTCCCCAAGGCAAGGAAACTTTTGGTTTCATAATGAATAACCAGCGGTTCCGTGATGCCGAAGATATTCCCACGGGGAAAGTGCCAAAAACCTCCATTAGTGCGGCAGTATGGACACACGGGGATAACATAGTCAGAATATAGGATGTATGAATTCTTGCGAATTAAACCAGTATAAGAACCATTCGCTTGGACATCTTCATTTGTTATCACCACCCAGCCTAAAAAGATATAAACCCATGTCTCATGACACCACACTTATATCGAAAAAAAAAAAAAAAAAAAAAAACACACCGCATACTATTCGCTTGATACAAAATAACGTGACGTGGCATGTTGATAGAATCTTTATAAGCAATTAAGAATAAATGATACTTTACTATAGGGTCACTTTAGCAGTAAAAAAAGCCTCTTTGTACAAGATCCTAACTGGAACTTTACCTGCATCTATGAGTGGTATATTGAAATACTGCGCCCTATATCCATTGCTGGCAGTCACGAGACGATAACGCGCTCGAGGGTCCAGTACAAACACTTTGAATGTCAGGTTATTTCTCGTGACAGCTTTCGAACCGTCGAGGTAAACCTCATCCTCCACGTCTGTGAAGTCAATGCCATATTTTTCCTACAATTGGAACATTTGATTGCAATAGCCTGGTTTAAATCCATGTATGCAGGTAGATGATAAATAACGGGTAATATGAAAACTTTCCATTTGGTTCATGTAAAGTGGGATCCTGCGCAAAAAGCCTTAAAATAATACATATGGTTTTGAAAGAAGTCCTCTGCCTTATAGGGATCTATTATTAAGTTTCTTTATAGGTATAAGCTGTTAGGGGCCAATTATATTTACCCCCTAGCTATGGGTAGGAGTGACAGACGTTTAAGCCGGTTAAGTTGATAGCAATATAGTGAGACTCCCCAGGGAGTTGGATCGATCCAGATGGATCGATCTAGGCATGGGAACCCAGTCTTATTAACCTGGCGATAACGTTTTACTGTAATAGTTTGCAATATCTATTATGTAAAATATTGCTAAATCAGGCCTACCCAACTACCAGACTCGGCACCGAATGATCCTGAATTCACCGGTAGATCAGACCACACTACCTGTTTTCAAGGTGTGTGTCAGATCGCATTACACAGTATCATACCCTGAACAAATTTTGAGTGATGCAATGCTTTTCAACCCCTCTGAGAATCGTCACTATCACATCGCTTACTAGGCAAGAGCGGTGTCGCGTCTGATACTGTGTATAATGCGATCTGACACACACCTTTAAAACGGGTAGTGTGGTCTGATCTACCGGTTAATTCAGGATCATTCGGTGCCGAGTCTGGTAGTTGGGTAGGCCTGTAAATACACCTTCAACCATAGAGAAGCTCTCTTTCCCTCGTCAATAGCTTCGGCCATGGAGCGACCAGCTAGCTGGTGATATTCAGCAATGCTACTGCTGTTATCTATAACCACTGCTGGAGCCCCGTCCATGATAAATGTTAGCGTATAGTCGTAGTGGGGCAGTGCTCTGGAAACTTGCTTCGATGTGGTCAGTGGTACTTGCACGAGCAGTATCACCCAGAGCGCAATACATCTACAAATTATTCTGGGTAAAAAAATCCTAGATAGATAACCTTGTCTAATATATATATACACATCATTGATTATAATTGCAATAAAGTTAACAAGTTCTTATTAACCACAGTTATTTTATCGCCTGTTTAATGTCGTGGTGTACTGGAAGCGTCATGTCAAATTAATTACTACTACTACTGCTACTACTACTTATAATAATAATAAACAAGTAAGGGATCTAACAAGACAATCTATCTCATGGAATATTAACATAAGAATATAATATTAGAAAATTTCTTCTTGATTCTTACCGAAATTGCGATCGCATTATGTCGGCTTATGACCAATGGTTATGAATTCAACTTAAACAATTTCCAACTGGAAAGAAATGTTACAGTTTATTTAATATTTTATGAGCAAATTAGGGAATTTTGATGTTGAAGGGGGGTGGGGCAAAAAGAAGAGGTTAATGGAGAAATTCCCTGGCTCTGTTTGGCAAGTTTGCCTAAAACACAAAGAGAGAGAAAGAGAGAGAGAGACTAAAACGATGCATCATTCGTACTGTTGTGCATTAGACTGTTAAAAGAAATCAAGCAGGACCCAGTTTCATCAACACAGGGTAGTGCGATATCCTATGGATGACACTATCCATTGAACAGTTATCCTGTGTGTAAAGTAATGTTTTCCAAACGCTAGGTTCTTATTTTTGTCTCTGATATTGCTATCCAGTGGGTGAAAGGGGAGGCTAGCCTCATGATAACTGTCAAGAAGAAAACAATTTTATCCAATGCGCTACCCAGTGTTGGTGAAACTGGGCCCAGCCAGATGCAAGTAACCGTGGATAAACCTGTCGGTTTTTATTCGTTGTCGCACCGCACTTTCTATTCTGTCATTATTTCTTACTCCACTCCACTTCAAATCCTGCGAGACTTTGTTTAGCAACACTTAGTGCTATCTCGGATGATCCCCATCACCTTTTTTGATCAGCGTTGTAAGGCTTAGTTTTAACATTCAATTTACGAATTTACGAATTTAATCTTGCTTACATCGCATATTTTCTAAACGCTTATTGTCTCTTATGTGATTCTTCCTAAGCTATACACTATATGATAAATAACATAGGCCGATTCATTTTAAGTAAATGGAGTGTACTTATGTGGCTTTAGACAGCAGTGGTATTTTTTTTATTAAGCACCCTGCTTAAGTCTGACTAATACATGCAGAGAGGGATTCTTATGCTGCCATTCCACTTTTAATGCGTTAATAAATACCTCACGCGTTTTCCACACTTTCATTCGAAACTTGAGGGGCAGTTTTCGGTACGTCAATACGACCAGCGTTAACTGAAACAGTTTACTTTGAAATTATACAAAAGTTACAATATTACACAAAAAGGACATACCATACAGCATAAAGCTCACAATGAAATCAAATTCATACATACTAGCTAATACTAGCGTAAAATACTTTTCATTACGGTATCACATGTTGACTTACGTAGTAAATGTTGCACTGTGCGCGACTGTTACAAGTTTGTTTAATAATATCTCCCTTAGACATTCCTCCCCCTCTCTACCCCTACCTCCAACCCCTCTCTCTCTCTGTCTTTCAAGGTATACGCTAGAAGACACCTTTCAATTCTACCTTCGTTCCTCGCAACTTACCGAAAGGGGAGCGCACCACATGTGACCCTAGATAAAAGGTGATTTAGAGAGAACTGCTAATAAGGTATCGTTCAAATGACATTTTTAAAATTTTAAAAATGCATTTTGTTGCTCATTGCTGGTGATGGGGGCTTCTGAATATCAATTTTTTTCTAGATTTCACGATTTTTGATAAATGCAGGGATTATGATACTTTTTAATTAAAAACTAATGAACATTCTTTCAAAAAGTTATAGACGTGGGCGGATATAAATTGAGAAAAAAAAACATTTTTTTCACTTTTAATTAACCCAGTGCTTTGTGTACCACCGTCTATTTCCTTTCTTGGTGTTGTTGTTAGTGTTGGTGGTGTTTTTGCTGTTGGTGTTGATGTTGGTGGTAATGGGGGAAGGGGTTACAGTTGATGGATACTCCAGTGCTTATAAGGGGAAAATGCAGACCCTCCTTCCTACTATTTCTTACAGTTGTGTATTGAGATGTGCTACGTGTGACAGGTTCAACTAACAGAATTTTGATGTGTCAAAACATGTTCTTGTCTTAAAAGCTAAACTCCTGGTACAAATACAGTAATGTATAATTGATGTTTATGTCACAGAATTGAAGGTAAAATTATTAACTATAACACTAGACATTGACGTAGAGATTACAACGTTTCGTCCTCATCCCAAGGACATCTTCATTGGGATGAGGACGAAACGTCGGAATCTCTACGTCAGTGTTTAGTACTAGAGTGAATAATTTTACCTTTAAACATCACAACTGGATGAATCACAATTTACATTTTAATGTCACATAATTGGTTTTCTACAAAAAATTTGAGAAAATCCAATACTGAACCTCCAACAAAAGCTGCAGTTCAGGTTGTGTTCTCTGTAAAAGTTCCTGGAAAAGTGAGGACTGTCCTTTCCATGATCTTATTATTTGTCCCGGAGAACCACCCCACGGCGCTGGCTTCCCCCTCACCCCAGGTCCTCTCTCTAACCAGAAAGTCGATAATGATAGGATTCCCCAAGGCAAGGAAACTTTTGGTTTCATAATGAATAACCAGCGGTGTTGTGGTGCCGAAGATATTCCCACAGGGAAAGTGCAAAAAACCTTCTCTGGTGCGGCAGTATGGACACACGGGGATTACGTAGTCGGAGTACAGAATGTAGGAATTTTTAGGAATAACGCCTGTATAAGAACCATTCGCCTGATATTCCTCATCTGTTATTAATGTCCAACCTGAAAGCAAGATAACTATAGTGTGAAATATCCGGAAGCCAAAAGGTCGTGATATGGGATTTTAATAGAATACTTTTCAGGGACTTTGAAAAGAAATAAAGAATATTCAGCCGTACAACGATTTGTCTCACTTGAGCTGGAAAATCCGATAAGTAATAGCTCATTCTAACTAGAACTTTACCTGCATCCGTGAGTGGTATATTGAAATACTGCGCACTATATCCATTGCTGGCAGTCACGAGACGATAACGCGCTCGAGGGTCCAGTGCAAACGCTTTGAATGTCAGGTTATTTCTCGTGACCGCTTTCGAACCGTCGAGGTAAACCTCATCCTCCACGTCTGTGAAGTCAATGCCATATTTTTCCTACAATTAACACAACGTTTCTTTACAATAGACTGGTGTGAAATTATCTTTGAAGGTAGATATATAAATAACAAGGTATTATGACAGCTGCTCATTTGGTTTATGTAAAAAGCTCTATTTTCGCAAAAAA